CGCCTTGGAGTCAAGGGTGGAGACACTTCCTCTCATGTGCTCTGGACATGTTATCAGGAGAGCCCAGTCCCTGGAAAGGGACATCAGGCTTGGTAAAGGAGGGCCTAGAAAAAGAGGAAGACCCTCAATTAAAGGTACTGACACAGTGGCTGCAACAAGGAGCTCAAACACAATTGTGAGGATGGAGCAGGACCGGGCAGAGTTTCACTCTGCTGTACGTGGGGTCATTATACATCGAATCAACCCAATGGCAACTGAAAACAACATGAATCAGAGGTTAACAGGGCAGCAGTCACTGACAAGAACATCCATGGTATGATCAGAAAGCGGAATTTAAAACAGATGTCAAATTAATTTCCAGGTTGCTTTATAAACAAAGGGATAATGATCTATAACAACATACAACACTAAAGGATGATTCTAAATTTTAAATCATAATGTTCCATTTGAAAATATATACCATATATACTTGAATATAAACCAACCTGAATATCAGCCGAGTCACCTAATTTTACCACTAAAACAGCACTAAAAAATGTGCTGAAAGACTCGGCTTATACACAAGTATATACGGTATTCATATTTAGCAATACATTTTAGATTTCAAAAAATAAGCACATCAGGTTATACAGATATAAAATCATATTAGTTTACTTTACTTAATATTACGAAGGATTATATTCAAAAATATTTGAATAAATGTAAACTTGACTTTAAATCTTGTTAAATATGTCTGGCTTCCGAAGCTTAAGACACTGTTCCTATATAAGGGAGAAATTCCTATTTCATTGATACACTTTGTTTAATTATTATTGAGAATGATCACTTCTTTTGCGCCAAGTACTGTTAAATGCACACTTACCCTGCATTGTTGCTGACTGCAGTGAGCCCTTTCACGCCTGTCTTCAGTAAAGCTCCTATAAGGTTCTCTGGAATGCCGCATAGCCCAAAACCTACAATGAGCCCAAAAGACAGACTGTTTCTTTCAAAAAATATGTGTTCTTCTTTTTGATAGAAAGCAAAGAAATAGATTTATCAAGCAAATGACTAGATCTATTAAGCATAAATCAAGATTACCTCATCAACTCAATAAATGGTCATACCAAACAAACTAAACTGCCACTGAGTCAATTCTGACTCCTGGCAACCCTACGGAGCAAGGGGAAACTGCCCCTGTGGGTTTCTAGACTATAACTCTTTGCAGTAGTAGAAAGCCTCATCTTTCTTCCTCAGAGCCACTGGTGATTTCAAACTGCTGATCTTGTGGTTAGCAACACAAAGCATAAAACCACTACACCACCAGAGCACCTACTGTTGTATCTAAATGTCTTGCACTATTAATACACCACACATCACTGCCAAGTCTTTGAATTTTAGAAATCCAAGTGCAATCAGTTTATATGGCTACACATTGTTCATCTTGTACTTAAACATATCCCTATTATTATCTCAGGTTATAATTCAACTGCTCCTGTAAAGAGTGTCGCAGAAACCCACCAGTGCTGTTCTACACTGTCCTGTGGGGTTGCTATGAATCAAAATTGGGTTATTGGCAGTAAGAGTGGGAGTTATACTGTATATACTCGAGTATAACTCGACCCGAATATCAGCCGAAGCACCTAATTTTACCACAAAACTGCATTAAAAATGTGCTGAAAATTTTGGCTTATACACGAGTATATACGGTAATTTAACTCTTATATGGTTAACTTTCTCAACCATTTGTGTACATGCTGAAGTAGATTTTGCAGAACTAGAAGCCTGAGCCAATTCCTTTCATTCTTTTGCTTCTTATTCATTTCCTCAAATATTAGTAGTGCCGGGTTTAAAGTGAGCATTCAATGGCATCATTTGAATAAGTAAATGGAAATTAGTCCTGAAAATAATCCTTGAACCTTGTGACCAAGATCAGAAAACCAAAACAATTTTAATAACAGGCAGCACATGTAATGAGTGTCAGTGGGTGGGTCCAAAGCACATTACAAACAAGAAAGGTAGTGGGTTAACAGTACGGCTTGGGGGATCAGCACCAGGCAGAGGCACATGGTCTCATAAAAAAAGGAGTAGCTAGGAATGGGTCAATGTGATTAGTACAAACATTTAAAAAAATTTTAAAGGAAAAAAAAATTTTTGCCAAGGCATTCCCAGAGCTACTGATAAAGATATCACCATAGAGGTGCTTTCTGTTTGTTTGTTGGTTTTTAATTTTTGAAACTTCAGTTTTTCAAAATAATACTGCCCTGGAGTCCATTCTGACTCATAACAACCCTACAGGGCAGGATCACACTGCCCCGGTGGGTTTCAGACACTCTTTACAGGAGTAGAAAGCCTCATCTTTTGCCCGAGGACAGCTGGTGGTTTCGAACTACTAACTGCTAACCTGGTGAGCAGAAGCCAGAAAAGAAATAAATATTATGTGGCAAGCCTTGCTAAACTTTCTGGAAGGAGGCAGTATGATAAAGTCACTGCTATTTCCAAATAGCCTGTTCTCATGTCCACACCTTTGCCAGGTGGTTCCACTGATGCCCGACAAACTGGAGAAAGTTGCCATCAAGAGAAAAGCAATGCTGGCACTCACCACCAACCAGTATGGTTGCACCATCCGGGATGTCTTTTATGGCCTCCACTGGATCTGAATAAAATTTAGTTTGATGGCGATTGCTGGTTGAAAAGTAGCAAACACATCCCTGTAACAATTAGAAGTCACTATTAAGCAAAGAATGATTTGGAGATACAGCTTTACTTCGCATGTATAGAAATTCATTTATTTTATATATCTCTATAAGCACACACACAGAGGCAGCTTCAAAGAGTTCAGAGAAAAATTCCATTACCATTTCACTTTTCCATGAGTGATTTGAAACCCCCTGATATCTATGAGTGTGGTTATTCCTTTGGAATAAACCGGACGCAAGCTTTCCACAGATTACCATAGGAGGCCCGTGTCACTGTCTTTACTATGTGAAAAACCGTCACAGCGGTGCCACCATGAAAAGATAAGCAGGGCAAGATATGACAAAATAATAATTTATAAATTATCAAGGGTTCATGAGGGAGGGGGGAGCGGGAAGGGAGGGGAAAAATGAGGA